CCGCATCTGGGGGGAGAAGGGGCAAGGGGGCGCGGGGGTGGGGCGGCAGCCGGCGGGGCCCCGGGGCCCGCGGAGAGATCCCAGCCAGCAGCACACACCCGCAGAGTCCCAAACCAATCCTGAAAGGCGAGGGACCTCTTGGAAGCCCAGAGCACCCTCCTTGTCATGGGAAACACCCCAACGGCCTTGTCCTGTGTGGCGAGGAACGCCTTCCTCAGCCCAGAGAAGGCAATTGCTTTCCGAAAGCCAGCTTCCTCCCCCCGACGCAGGCAGGCCGAGACCGGAGGAAAGCTGGGTTTCGCAACAGATTGGTGCCCTGGATTTCTTCACTGGAATTCTGTTTTGGAGGGTGAGAAAAGGTTTAATGGGTTCCTTTTTGCTGTGCCCCCCTCCAAATAAATTTTAAAAATCAACTCTTTGGCAGCTGAGTTGCGTAATTGCAGCATTTTGGTGAGAAATATAATTTCCTGTAGGATTGCACCACGAAGACTCACGGGAGTTTCAATTCAGCTCTCTTGTGCAAGAGGTACCTCTGCATTCTGCTGCCACCGCGGGTGGGAGGTCTTCAGGAACACAGAGGCCCTTGAAAAGCAAGGCTGGGCCAACATGGGTCCTCCAAGGGGCGTTTCGGGGACACAGCCTGCGCCAGGAGCTTTTGTCCTGTACCCAGAGCCTGCGTGGTCGGCGCGTCACGGCTGCGACCGAGCGAAGGCGCGGGGCCAGCAGTCGATGCGCTGCCTCCTCGGTCGGTGGCGTGCGTGGGGGCCAGCGGGTAACTCGTGAAGCCCACGGTCCTGATGGCAGCCAGGTGGGGCCTGTCCTGGCTGCAGAGGTGGAGCGGGGTGCCGGGCAGACCTATGTGATCCTCCCTCTTCCCAGGGGAAAAGGCTGCAGCGACAGGCAGTGGACAATAAACAGGTTTTTCTCAATGCTGGTCTGTGTCAGAGATGCTTCAAACAAATCCTGCTCAGATTTGGTACGTTCTTCTGAGCAGCTGTGAATGAAAGCCCTCCCTGTTAAAATGCGTCTCCTTCTCTAACAGTAAGCCCTCTTTCTCTGGGTTTTCTGTTTCTTTTACACTGTCCTGGCTGCTGCTGCTGCTGCTTTTTAGAATCATAAAATCATAAAATTGTTTAGGTTGGAAAAGTTCTTTAAGATCATCAAGTCCAACCGCTAACCCAGCACTGCCAAGGCCACCACCAAACCATGTCCCCAAGCACCACATCTCCCCGGCTTTTAAATCCCCCCAGGGATGGGGACTCAGCCCCTGCCCTGGGCAGCCCGCTTGTTCCTGGGGAGAAGAGACCGACCCCCCCGGCTCCAGCCTCCTTTCAGGCCGTTGCAGAGAGCGATGAGGGCTCCCCTCAGCCTCCTCTTCTCCAGGCTGAGCCCCCCCAGCTCCCCCAGCCGCTCCTCCCCAGCCTTGGGCTCCAGCCCCTGCCCCAGCCTTGCTGCCCTGCTCTGGCCACGCTCCAGCCCCTCCGTGTCCTTCTTGGGGTGAGGGGCCCAGCGCTGAGCACGGTACTTCTCCTCGTCCTGGGCAGATTGCTGTGTTGCAGCACAGTTTTATTTTAAAGGCTGGGGTGAGCCTTCTCCCCAGGAACATGGCACTCCCTCTTTTAAAACTTTTCTGCATTTAATATAAACAAGCCCAGAGCCCTCTTGATTTGCCAACTTGTCCAGGAAACATGGGTCTCGTCCAAGGTCTTGCCCAAGGCCCTGTCCAGGGCCTTGGAAACATGTTCGAACGTTGTTTTTGCCGCGTCTTGAGTGGCACTTTTAATATGCAGCTTACCAATTTCCACCCTCCCCTCTTCCAACGTGGCACAGCCTTTCTAACCAGGCTTGGCAACGCAGGTCCAATGCCCACCCCGCGGCCAGGGGCTAAGGGCAGGGCCGGGACTGCAGGAGGTGCTGGGGCTCCTCATCGCACCACGGAAAGGGGACCGACGGCTGCCTGGGTCTCTGCCCCGAGGAGCCAGCCCCAGCCCTGGGCAGGCGCCCTGCCCCACGCCGCCCCTGCCGGGACGCTGGCCCCGGATGGCTCTCGGAGCAGCCTCTCCTGCCCCGCAGCCACCGGCAGCTCTCACACACTGCAGCATCAGACACAGCCGCCCAAGGCCCCACCAGGGCTCGGACAAGAGCACGGCCTGGCAGACAGGTCCAGCGTCTCCCAGTGCCCTGGAGCGAAGGGCTGGGCCGGACCAGCCGGCAGCGGGGCCGACTCTGGTCAGGGGATTCACTGGGGCAGCGCCAGCAGCGGGAGCCTCTGCAGGGATGCACCACAGGGAGCACCGGGATTGCTCCATGCAGCCCCCGCCCACCCT